TTGACATATTAACATATTGATTGCTCAGGTCAAAATCTTCTACAATGTTGAATTGATCTAATAATAAATATTCTACAGAATTTGGATTCAATTTGCAAATGGATTGCAAATAGATCAAAAAAAGCTCTGGAAGCTGGAATAACTGGCCAAAAATGATAAAAATATTATGAATGTCTGGGATAGTAATGAATAAATTATATCTGTTATAGTTAAGGATTCAGACAGCCAAACATTGTCAAGATTTAGCAGTTTAGTAGTTGGTTACTTGCAGAGAAAATGGAATTTACTGTTAGTTACAAGGGGAAAGCCTGGAGTTAGGTGGACTGACTGCCAAAATATGACCAAAACTTTTTTGAATTGTTGTAGGAAAAAAACAACAAAAAACAAAAAATAAAAAATTCAATTTGCTATTGTACATTATTAAGATACGTCAATAACTTGATTTACTGTTAACAATTTTACCATTTATTTCTTCATGTGAAATAAGACTTTGAATTTAAATTACTCAAACATTTGAAGAATCACACATTGTTAGGTATCGCATCTTTAGGAAACTGCTTATGTTCATTAAGTTTTTGATTAAACCTCTCACACCACGGTCCAGCCATTGTTCAATGTTAGAAGAGGGAAAGTTCATTGTGATATATTTAGACACAAAATCGACACTGTTGGCAAGAACATCTGAGACATAATTATAGAAAACAACTGTCTGATGAACTGTTTTAATTGAAGTGTAACTAATTACACAAGCTCAACCCATAAATAATGCTACATGTAAAGTATAAATCTAATGAGTTTATCTCCAGCATGGAAATGGGAATATCAATCAGTGACCTTGAGTGAGGACAAGTTTTAGATATGATTAAATCATAATCAGAACAGATTTACTATCAATAGTATGCTTATTAGAGTCAAGGAAGAGAAAGAAACCCAGTTAGTTATGTATCATGTTGATATATACTGGTAACTGGTGTTGTTATAACTGCTACTGTCATTTATTTTATATCTTTGTATATAAGTTCTGGCAAATGTTCAGCCATCACTATAATGTAATGTATTTGTTTGAAGGATAATGATTGTAAGAGGTAGCAGATTTAAGCTAGTCACATATCCCATAATATCTTGTTTTCATTACAAGTGTTACTCCTCATTTTTTTTCGCTCCAACCTGAAGCAACTGGAATAAAGCAGATATTTTATCAAGAAAAAAAGCTCAGAAATTTATCATATGTGAGGTTTGACAAAATAAATATACCGTATGTCTTGTTGATTGAGTATTGGTATGTTGTTGTTGTTGTTCTCTTTGATGATTCTCTGTCCTTGATCTGGAACAAGTCAATAATTTTAATAGAGAATAACATGCTATTTTTCAATGCTTATCAGTAAAATACTGTAAATTCCATAAAAACATTTTCATTACATAAAGTTTTAATGTTGATTTAAAGAGTTTTATAAAACTATAAAAAAATACTGTTGTAAACCAAATGTGAAACAAGTAAGAAAAAAAAATGTTGAAACAATCTGTTATAATCTCTGAATATATCATATGTCTGTTTAAGCACTCAAACAATTCTCCCACTCATAAGTTGTTTATATGTGTTGCTGGTTTCCAGGAATTCATGGTATGGAACCACCTGAAGCTAATGTTCTAATGTTATATTTAGAGGAAGTATTAGAGATATCTTTGTTACTATAGAAAAAAAACAATTTTTGACCACTATGAAAAAAAACCCAAAATAATTTGGGTTTGTCGATGGGCTGGTACCGAAAGCTGATATAGCGGAAAAATGTCTTTATGCAGATGAATGCTTATTGACAGTTTACAAACTCTAATTACAATTATCAGAAATTTGATATAGCGAGATAGCATGATCTTGATAGATGGGGTATTCGCAGATTTATATTGGATCCAATGATTTTTTGTAAACCCACTAGTGTTGTGTTTATTGTATTACGCGAGATCATAGAAAAACCTCCTTCAATCACTTATAGATTTTATAAGCTGATTGATTTTACTGATAGGTGTAAGCTGTAAAGTGAAAATAGCGGGAAACAATGTAACTTTAATAGCGAAAGTGAATGTTACTTATTGAAAGTTTAATAATGCACTTAAAGAAAACTTGAGATTGCATCAGTAAATTGTATATAATTGTTCATTGAAGATAGCTCAATCTTGAATAGATGTGGTGATTTTATTTGTTAATCAGATTTTATATTGATGAAATGCAAAGATTTTTTTAGATCACTTTCAGTTCCTTGTTGTGTTGTATTGTAGATGAATGAGTGATTAACCTTTTTTTCATGAATATTCCAAATTTGTGACAGATTGTGGAATGCATATAAAAGATGTCACTCTAAAAGCACAAATAAACATTACACACTTGACAACTGATTCAAAGAATATATTCCCTGAATCAGTTGCAAAATGTTTAATCTTAGTATTTATTGATAGACATATGTACTTACATTAGCACAACAGCATTTATTACCTCAGGTACTGTCTGTCTTGTACTTTCACGTTTTCTTAAGCACAAGATCACATCTTCTATGAAAATTACTTGAAGTTCTTCCTGGGGTTAAAATATTTTTGATTTGCAAATTTTTACATAATAATAATTAAAAAATTGAATTGCATTTGGTAGCCAGTAGTTTGTTTGTGGCAGATGTTATGTCTGAGCCATTTTGTTGTTCCTAGTACTGAATGTTCAAATTACTTAAACATCATCTCTTAGTCCTAATAGGTGGTTTTGGGTTGTTTTGTTTATAAAACCCCAACAAGTTTAGCTTTTGACATGGAAGTTTTCTTTTGATGATTGTTCATAAGAATCTTTCCTTCAAAACAAATTCTGGTTATGTTAAACTAAAAACGTTCTCAGTCTGAAATTTAAGTTTTTTCAAATTGTTTGGTAATAAACTGTGTCTATGCAAAGCTTGTTCAAATTGTACCCTCACAGAAAAAAAAAACCTTCCGTTTTATATATCTTGTACAGACAGTGTTTCTCAGGTGAGGTTTAGGCTGGAATGCCGAAGCAGTGCGTCTTTTTAGGGCCAATTTGGGGCCCTTTCCCCTCCCCAAAAGTATATATTTTTCTCCTATTCCTGATTTTTTCATTATGAGATTCATATATTCCCAAGATTTGAAGATTGATGTTTATTGTAGTTTAATACTCCACAGTTTACATAATTATCTATCTGTATACATATACGGTATCTAACAAACAATGCAGTTCTTTTCATTTCTTAATTTCTCCTTATTTCCCTTTGCTGCAATTCCCTTAAAATAGAAAAAACACTGCAAAGAAGTAAATGGCGAAAATTCTTAAAAAAAAATTTATATAGAGATGTGTGTGAATTATAGACATTGAAAACAATATAGATGAAATGTTGACCAGCTGTTTTACATATTTCATCAGTTAATGTTTGATGATGGTATAGATAACACAATCTGTGGCCTGTAGGGAACTGATACCTTTCTATAAAATATTATATTATACAGAAATTATTACAGATATCATATTACTGTTTAAAGCTACTTTTTAGACAGATTTATTTAAGGCAACAGCTCTAAATATGTAAAAGAAAATATTGGAAGAAAGGTGTTTGATTGCCACCTCTTTTAAACCTGCTAAAAAAATCTTTCATGTGTAAAAGTGTATCAAATGCCTGCTAGACATATTGTAAAAAGTCAAAATTAATAATATTTCATGAAAGAGCTTGCTTTTCTTTTATCATCAATAGGGCTATGTATTGCAAGATCAGATCCACAATTCAGAACTAACAATACACAATTCACAAATTAAACCATGAATTTTCTCATTGTATTTATACTGAATGAAATTACGATGTTGTTTAAAAACAAACAAAAAACGTTGTAAATGAAAAAATAAAAATGCATAAATAATGAATATTACATAGTGCCTTTAACAACTGTTAAATGTTTTAGTTTAGGTTCAGCTGAACGTAAATGGTAGAAAACAGGATAAATGCATGTGAAATATAAACAGGACATAGTTAAATAGTGAAACAAAAGTTCTTTTTTAAGGTTTTATACATTAATTAAACAGATATTTGGACTTTTTATAAACTTAGAATCACGATCCAGTGATCTTGGGACAAATTGTCAAGGTTTCCATTGCTAATATCTGAATATCAGTGAAAGCATTACACCCCTAATCTTCAAAAATGTTTTCTAAAAAAGGTGTTTGGAATAAGTCACTTCATGGATGAGAAAAAGATGTTTTGGTGTCAGGAATGATGACTTATACAGTCTCCTCTCTTTTATTTTCAGGTATCAGTGTATTTAATAGTTGTATGATAATGCTATGTATTGTGGCGCTCTGGTGCACCTTTGACTCTGCAGGCAGAAAGTGGGTCAAGTTTAAACGCTACCAGGAAAGCATGAAAGAAAAGGCACACAGATCACGAAGGTCAGGTAGCGCTCGTAGAAACTGGAGACAAAGGTAACCAACATTTCTTTTTCAGTATTTATTTTTAATACCAGATCCCTTTTTAACCAGATACCTCTTTGTTTATGTATATCTTATACCAGAACAGTTATATAAATAATGAACTATAAACTGTTAATATGTTTCCATTACTATCTATTAATCTATAGTGAATTCATATAGAAATGTTTTAAGATAATAACATACAGTTTATTTATACATTATACATAAAATGCTTTTGAAGGGTGATAAAATTAAAGCCTTGTTTTAGTATGACCCATTAGGCAGGTAAATTTCTGCAACATGTCATACCAATCAAATTTAGCAATTTCTTAAAAATTCTTTTCTTGTTGGTAGTTCTTTCACTAAGATATGACCCAGTTTATTCCAAGATTTATGACACCCCTGAATCACGCCCGGCAAACTGTCGCTCCACTTCAAAATTGTGGTGTACCGTAAAACGAGCGAACGGCATTTCCAAGATAGAGCGGAAGGCCGATTTAAACGCCTAATAGTAAGTATTGTTTATGTATTTTTCTTGTTATTCATTTAAGTTGTATTTTTTCGAAAAATGGAAAATGTGGTTCCGTGTAGGATTGATTTAGGCTTGCAATGATCTAAGCTGTTACAAAAATAAAATTATATTAAGCCCGGGATAACTTTTCTCCCTGACGAAGCGAACGATGATTTGTAGAATATTGAACTTCCCAACCATAGAAATGCCATACCTTTCGGATTTCTTGAAAAAGTGTGATAGTAAATTATCAACCCGTAATAAGAACTTGTCCTTCGTGCAAAATAAATTACTCCTGAAGGATTTCTTAAATTTGTAAACCGATATTTTTCGAAAGTAGTGGAGCGAAAGGGTGAGAGATGGAGCAAAATGTTCGATGTTGAGCGCAAGGCGATATTAATTTGACATATTAGTAGGAGCGTAGTCTATGATTTTTTTACATATAAAAGCTATAGAAGTTAAAATATACGTGATCAAGTGTTCAGACCGATATATATACATTTTGAAGACAACTAATAAAGTGTGATATCCTTTCAAAGACTATAGCGTAATAAATGTAATCGCTAAGGTGTCACCTATGGCTTCCGTGTAGATTCCTATATCTATGTTCGAAATTTGGATGAGGCCCGACCATTGAATCATACAGATGTATGCATGGCATAATACAGGATGCCACTTATTCGAGGTCAATCATGATTTTTGACACGGTTATGTACATTTAAAAACGTGTGTCCGTGCAAATGCGACTAAGTCGAGTATTTTTAGTTCTACCGCGAACAAATGTTTCCGAGCAGGTACGTGTAACTCGATTGTTTACGCCAAAATGTTGTTTTTCGAAAAGTTAGATATTCAAGGTGCAGAACATAAACAAAATTATGCAATACATGGAACACATTAAATTAAATGGATCACTACTACCGAGTTCAGTTCACAATGATTTTCTGTAATTAATAGCTCTAACAACTTTCTGCAATTAATAGCTCTAACGTACCTGTTCTGATAAGCTACGTTTTCATGAATTTGTATGGTGGGGAATTGCTATGAAAATGGTTGACAAGGTGTCAGTCGTTATAAGGATATAACACGTGTTCCAGTTATGTTTCAAGATACTTCCTCCCTTATTTAGCATTGTTGTTTAGTTTATGATTTTCGTCTGAAATTGTAAATAGAAAATTCTACTATAACTAGGTCTATTTGAGAGGAAAATAATAAACTAAACAACAATGATAAATAAGGGAGGAAGTATCTTGAAACATAACTGGAACACGTGTTATATCCTTATAACGACTGACACCTTGACAACCATTTTCATAGCGATTCCCCACCTTACAAATTCATGAAAACGTGACTTATTTGTGTTTTTGCTCAGAACTTGTACGTTAGAGCTATTAATTACAGAAAGTCATTGTGAACTGAACTTGGTAGTAGTGATCCATTTAATTTAATGTGTTCCATGCATTGCATAATTTTGTTTCTGATCTGCACCTTGAATATCTAACTTTTCGAAAAACATAACATTTTGGCGTAAACAATCGAGTTACACGTACCTGCTCGGAAACATTTGTTCGCTGTAGAACTAAAAATATTCGACTTTGTCGCATTTGCACGGACACACGTTTTTAAATGTAAAAATCATGATTGACCTCGAATAAGTGGCATCCTGTATTATGCCATGCATTAATGTGTATGATTCAATGGTCGGGACTCATCCAAATTTCGAACATAAATAATGGAATCTACACGGAAGCCATAGGTGACATCTTCGCGATTACAGTCATTACGCTATAGTCGTTAAAAGGATATCAAACTTTATTAGTTGTCTTTAAAAGGTAAATATATATCTCGGTCTTACACTTGATCATGTTTATGTTAACTTCTATAGCTTTTATTTATACAAAATCACTGACTACGCTCCTCCTAAAACGTCAAATTAATATCGCCTTGCGCTCAACATCGAACCTTTTGCTCCATCTCTCACCCTTTCGCTCCACTACTTTCGAAAAATACAGGTTTACAAATTTAAGAAATCCTCCAGGAGTAATTTATTTTGCACGAAGGACAAGTTCTTATTACGGGTTGATAATTTACTATCACACTTTTTCAAGAAATCCGAAAGGTATGGCATTTCTATGGTTGGGAAGTTCAATATTCTACAAATCATCGTTCGCTTCGCCAGGGAGAAAAGTTCTCCCGGGCTTAATATAATTTTATTTTTGTAACAGCTTAGATCATTGCAAGCCTAAATCAATCCTTCACGGAACCACATTTTCCATTTTTCTATAAAATACAACTTAAATGAATAACAGGAAAAATACATAAACAATACTTACAATTAGGCGTTTAAATCGGCCTTTCGCTCTATCTCGGAAATGCCGTTCGCTCGTTTTACCGTACACCACAATTTTGAAGTGGAGCGACAGTTTGCCGGGCGTGTGAATAAATGCTTGACAGTGTAAGCTCTGTGAGGGATAAAATAAAGAAAAGTACAACAAGAGCCATTATGTTTTGTCATATACATGTTATGTTGTCTGATGGTTGATGCAGTACCCTCTGTGCACACTGGCACAATTTACTCATGGAAGTCTGAAAATCCTCTTATCTAATGCAATCACAAAGATACCCTGGAGGTTCCCTGCAGAATCTAACAATCTCTGACATAAATGCAAGGGACTGTCACAAAACGTAAGGTTGTAATAAGTATGTTTGAGGAAAATTAGTTGTAACATCATTCATTGTTCATTTAAGTGTTCTATTTATGTAGAGAGTTCTGTATGCCCTGAAAGAATAAATGTCTGTGAAGTGATGGTTTCATTGTGAATGTCAGGTCTGCAACCTGTAGGCTACATTACATAACAGACTTGAAGTAATTTGTTTAAAAAAAGGTGCCACTGTCACTAATGCACATGGAAATCTGATGAATTTGACTTTTTCCCTGGAAACAATTTGTAAGAGAAAACTGAATGGTCAAACAATTTGGAAGAGAAAACTAAATGGTCAGATCTATATGCAAGAGAGTTTACTTCTGTGAGAGTCCAGTTTTAACATTGTTAAAGCCAATGCTCTTTCTCTTCTACAACAATTTTCATGCTAGCTTATTTTCTGTATAGGCTCTTGTTATAAGAAGCTTAGGTTATAGGTTTTGACCCATACATATTTAAAATTCTTTTTCTCGTTATCTTTTTTATATGTATTTAAATCTTTTCAGCTCAAGCTTTTTCTCTATGACAATGATAGAGCATTTTTCTGTTTTCATGTCATGTTTATATACATGTATAGTCGGGCATCCTTGTGCCAACTGTGTACAGGAAGTTGTACCAGTATTTTTGGTGCATGTTTTATATTTTCAGGAGACCTGCTAATGTCATGCTCATATCTCTGTTATGATTGACATTATTAAACCTGTTACCTAACTTTTCTTCTTTTCTTACATATATTTGTCTTTGCCTTGCCATTGAAATGACATTAAAGAAAAATAAATTATCAAACTTAGAAAAAAAATTAGTTTCTCAAATAGTATAGTTCAAAATAAAACATGTGAAATAGCTTTTTTTTCAATCAATATTGATCTTAAATTGAATATACTTTTAAAATAATTGGCTCTTTTCTTATTGTTAATTTGATATATTGTTTATTGTTTGAAATAGTATTTTTAAAATGAAACCTAAAAATTGTAACTGATAATTTTAAGTTGTATCATGTTAATTGTTTTTCTTAGAATAACTTTAATTTGAATACGCTAAGTAAATCATTTCTTAAATCTGTGTTATTTGTGATCTCTAAATAAAAGTGATATTATTACTAGTCTGACAATTACCACTTGGTCATAGCAATCTTAGGATTGCTGGTCGCATGGGTTCAAACCCTGTCAGGGGCAAGCCGTTGTTTTTCATTACTTAGTACTTGTTGGTTGCAGGAACAGATTGAATAGTGTTTCAATAAGCTTATAGCTTCCAACACAATCAAACTAAAATAAATTTGTATAAACTAAACTAGAAGTGATATTAACTGAGATACCTTTGTTCAGATTACATTATAAGATATTTAGAATAAAACACACAGAATAATATCAAGACATGTTAGGTTATGAAAATAAATTTAATGCTATGATGTTTTTCACTGTTATGAAGCCTTCATCATGTAAGATGTATATGGTATATATATTAAGGTATGTTTACAGGTTGCTACATCCTAGGTATGCTAGATTTGTTCCCTATCTCTGTAAGTGGAAGCTTCTTTCCTCTACACTTACTATACTATACCATAGGCAACTTGTACCTAACATTCTAGAAAACTAATACCACTAATACACTGAACAAATAAATGCATCATATACAAAACCTAACACTTGCTTGTAAAATAATACCTTAACATTTAGTGTGTATTTAAACACTTACATTAAAAAAAAACTTTTAACACTTACATACTAAAACCAAAATTTGGTAATTTTACTAACTAGAGGGGTTCCAGGTATTCAATTTCAGTGTATTTATCTATTTTTAAGTTTCTGCTGTAACTTTTTTAATGGCTAAAGTTGTCAGATATTTATTTAAAGTTTTCATTTTGTCATTATTTTATGTGTGCCTTAAGTATGTAATCTTTTATAAAAAAAAGAAGAAAATTTGTGATTATATTTTCATGTCTTTTTTCTTGATAAGGAAGAGAAATGAAACAATGCAAGTTTGATGAGGTATTCTTACGCAAGTCAAGTGCAAGTCATAGAAACTTAAAGGCATATCCTTTACATGTATATTGTCTCCTTTAGTTGTATATCAACATGTAGGCAGAATCAAAACAGTATAATGGAATATATTGGAACTTTTCATGATCATAGAAAATGCAAAATTGTTGGTCACAAAGCTTTTTTTCGAGTTATCTGCCCTTGAATATGAAAATTGATTCTGTGTCAGTTTGTCCCTTGCAAAAACAATTAACAAAGCAGTTGGCAAAAAATTAAGGATGAAAGGTTGCACTTCTGGTTACATCAGCTTTAAGGGTTAAATTGTTTTGTATGAGATAAAAGGTTGAATATCTGGGTTATTTCACCCTGCAAACTAGCAAAATTCTGCCCCTGAATATTACAGACTGTTTTTTCAAGCAATTTCCAAAGGTGTTGCAGCTAATTTTCAGTGAAAGTTTTGAAACAGATTTAAAATGGATATTAATAAGAAAAAAATGAAAAGCAATATCTGTGTATCTAGGTCTCTAAATTCTGCAGACTTTGAAATATTAGTTAAAACTAAAAATATCTCATAGGAACATTAATATAAAAAAAGATGTATTGATGTAAAGACTGGCCTGCGTTGATTAATTCTCTCAATATCACAGATGTGTGATTATGTTTTGTCCCGAGGGAAGTGAACATTTTCCATTTTGCCGATCAGCAATTATATCTGTTAATCAAGGAATTTAAAACAGTAATTTTTATTCTGTGGGACTTATAAAAGATAATCAATATTTATAGGATGGTGCAGAATTTGAAACTTATTTTAAATATTTGTGAAATAATTTATTAGATTCACACAATGCAACCACAATTAATTAAAACAGACTTCTTTTACTTGATACCTTTGGATCCCCAAAGTCAGCTGTAGGTTAAAGTCAAATTGAGCAAAACTAATGAAAGAGTGGCCTTAAGTCATGAAATTTCATGAAATTGGCACCAAATTTATACTTTATGTCTAAATGTAACGATTATGTAATGTATAAAAACAATAAGGACTTTACTGTCATACTAAAAAACCTAAGAAGTGATTTGTTCAGATAATTCATGATTCCAGAAACTTGGTCGTTAGGATTGAAGAAGTTATACTTTAAAATAGAATGAGTTCAAGCATTTGCACATGAGTCTGCGATATGTTTTGTATGCTATGCAGTTATTTAAAGTGATTTTAAAGTGGTTATTGGTGTAGACATCAGTTTGATTGTACATGTACTGTCATTGCTGCCAGTACAAACCACTATATTGGCACAATTAAGCTATTGAAATATTATGCTGTGAGCCCACCCTATGTAGTAACCTATATGACATATATTGGGGTATCTCAATTCATCTTTCCCCAGCATAGCTAAATTAGAGGAAAGTTGAATATCTAAAGAACTCCCAAAATGGCAAAATTGAAAATGTTAAAAGTCTGCATTTTACCATGATATAATTATTGTCAGTGTGGTTTACTTAAGTAAATAAAAATGTGGTAAATTTAAAATATTAATTTAAAGTTTAAAATAATTACAATGAAACTGAAAACAATATTGATGTAAAATGATTAGAAATACATCAGTGGATTTCATTTATGTCTCTGATTATTCATTCTCTTTTAGAATCCTGATTTTTTTTTTAAAAATATAAAACAATCAACACATAACTATTTTATTTAATCTACCCATAGACCGAAGAGTGGATGAAAGGTTTGAGGCGAAAAGTAATAAATAAGATATTGTTGGTAGTTTAAGTACTTTTATCTTGAGCAAAATTATTTTCTTAAAAATGCATGCTTCTTATATTCTTCTAATAAACATTGAGATAAAGATTCCTTGTATGAAATGTTTCTATGCCTTTTCTCTATAGAGATGATAGTATGTACAGAAGACCAGAGCATGTCTGCACCTTAACCTTTGCATGATGTAAACGTTCTTTCTCCACCTACGATAAACTAGGCTTAGGTTGTTTCTTTTGATGAATGTGTGTCAAAACTGTGAAATCATTTCATTTTTTGTTAAACATTAAAGCACTGTTTGTGATAGAAGAGGTGTTATCTTATGAATTTGTAATGCAATGTAAAGTATTTTCCCTAATGTACTTTGTTTGATTTGATGGATTTAGAATGCAGGAACTTGATGTGGAAGAGTTGTAATTACACTAAGATAAAGTGGAAGCAATTCTACAAATGACCCCAACGGTTCTTTAATTAAAATAATGATTTCACAAGATGTCCGCATAGAGTACAAGCATGTGCATTGAAATAATTATGCTATCTTTCTTTTTGCAAATACTGCACTTTGCTCTTAAATGGTTTGTGTGGGTGATATAGCTAGGACAATAACACCAATGTTAAGTCAAATCTGTTCAAACCTCAGCATATTCTCAATAATTGTAAAGTTACAGCAGTGCTGACTACAAATTTTCTCTTAAAAGTTTTAAATTGCTATGCCACCTGTTATTTAAATTAGTTTTCAAAGAAATTAATTTTACTAGAATCAGTCAATTAATTATTTAATTGAAGAAAAACAAACATTTTTGTTGTATTTTCTGTAAATTGTCTTACTGTAATTTTATAGGGTTTGACCAACATGCAATAAATATTAGAATTTAATCAGAATCTTTTCACAACAACAATGTAAATTTATGGAGTCTGTCTTTTTGTTAAACACTTGCTAATATAAGACATAATGTGGCCAAGGAACATTATTTTTTGCTAGTAGCCTTGGACTGTTTCCCCTGCACCTAGAATTTCTTTCAGAATACCATCAAACATATTTAAAACCACATGAATGTCTTTTATAATGAAGATGAGCATTGTTTCTGAGATCCTTTTGAACGTCCCATGCAATTGTAATGTAACTTGAATTAACCCAACAAAAAGTGATAATAATTAGTTTTTGCCATCCGTATAGAGCTAAACAAGCCTAGTGCAGTCTGACCAGGCCCTTTACCATTGGTAGGTTTTGGTTTTTTTGTAGTTGAAATTTTTTAATCAATGGACTGTATGACAAATCATTGGACACATAGAACTGTGGCATTGATTAAACAGCTTATGGTAGTAGTCATTTGATGAGAGATAACTGAATGTTATTGTCATGAATTTTGATGTACTGAATAACATACAAATATATAATTATGAGAAAATCTGCCAACAGGTTCTCAATTTTCTAAATTGGTGTTGAGTGGTTTAAAATATTACTGAAAATCTGTCTGGATGCTTAGAGATAAAAGAGGACAATGAGTGTAAGGGGGCTGAGAATGTCTGGCTGTGATTATTTTACCTGCATTAAACTGTCAAAACATTTTATCAGTGATTTTCAGACAGGTCTTATATTGTTGAAAAGTTTGACTGTTGATGGAGGTGGGAATAATTTTTAAACTTAATGGGCAGGTCAGACTGATTATCCATGTAGTGTAAGGTTGGGTGTTCAACTCTTACCCTTGCTGGTGGTAACTGAATTTACCAAGGCAACCACTGCAGACTTAGATCAGCTGGTACATTTTGGGCTATCTCATTATACCCCCGAAACGATGTTGGGGGGGGGGGTTATAGGAGTCACCCAGTGGTCAGTTGGACGGTGGGTCCAGCGATCTGTTGCATTTTCCTTGTCTGGAGCATAACTTGAAGACTAATGGTTGGAATTCAATATAACTTCATACAATGGTCAAGCACATTGAGAGGAAGTGCAGTGCACAATAACCATAACTCCATCTTGACTAATTACAGAGTTATTGCCCTTTGTTACTTTTCCTTGTCCGGAGCATAACTTGAAAACTACTGGTTGTTACTTTTCCTTGTCCGGAGCATAATTTGAAAACTACTGGTTGGAATTCAAAACAACTTCATAAAATTGTCAAGCACATTAAGGGGAAGTGCAGTGCACAAGAACCATAATACCATCTTGACTAATTACAGAGTTACTGCCCTTTGTTACTTTTCCTTGTCCAGAGCATAACATGAAAAGTACTGGTTGGAATTCAATACAACTTCATACAGTTGTCAAGCACATTAAGAGGAAGTGCAGTGCACAAGAACCATAACTCCATGTTGACACATTACAGAGTCATTGCCCTTAGATACTTTTCCTTGTTCAGAGCATAACTTAAAACATACTGGTTGGAATTCCAATTCAAAACAACTTCATATGATGGTCAAGCACAATAAGAGGAAGTGCAGTGCACAAGAACTATAATTCTGTCCAGAGTAATTATTGAGTTATTGCCCTTTTTTACTTTTCCATTGTTTTTTCTTGTCCAGAGCATAACTTGAAAACTACTAGTTGGAATTCAATACTATTTCATACAATGTTCAAGTATATTGGGAGGAAGCGCAGTGCATAGAAACCATAACTCTTTCTTGACTCATTTAAAAGTTTTTGCCCTTTGTTACTTTTTATTGTCCAGTGCATAGCTTGAAAATTAATGGTTGGAATCCAATGAAACTTTATACAATGGTCAAGGGCAGTGAGATGAAGTGCAGTGCACAAGAACCATAACTCTATTTGGACTAATTGCAGTTATTACCCTTTGTTACTTTTTTTGTCCAAAGCATAACTTGAAAACTATAGTTGGAATTCAATACAACTTCATTCAATGGTCAAGCGCAATGAGAGGAAGTGCAGTGTACAATAACCATAACTCCATCTTCAGTATTTATAGAGTTATTGCCCTTTGTTCCTTTTTATATGCCCGAAAGGGCATATTATGTTATACCCCCTGGCGTCCGTCTGTCTGTCCGTCCGTCCGTCCGTCTGTCCGTCCGTCCGTCTGTCCGTCCGTCCGTACGTCCGTCCGTCCGTTAGCAATTTGGTTTCCGGAGCATAACTTAAGTTCCATTTGGCCCACAATGTTAAAACTTCATAGGATGATTGTCCATATTGGGTAGAAGACCCCTATTGATTTTGGGGTCAAAAGGTCAAAGGTCAAGGTCACTATTACCTTAAAACTGAAAACGGTTTCCGGAGCATAACTTAAGTTCCATTCGACCCACAATGTTCAAACTTCATAGGATGATTGTCCATATTGGGAAGAAGACCCCTATTGATTTTGGGGTCACAAGGTCAAAGGTCAAGGTCACTATGACCTTGATACTGAAAACAGTTTCCGGAGCATAACTTAAGTTCCAATTGGCCCACAATGTTCAAACTTCATAGGATGATTGTCCATATTGGGTAGAAGACCCCTATTGATTTTGGGGTCAAAAGGTCAAAGGTCAAGGTCACTATTACCTTAAAACTGAAAACGGTTTCCGGAGCATAACTTAAGTTCCATTCGACCCAAAGTGTTTAAACTTCATAGGATGATTGTCCATATTGGGAAGAAGACCCCTATTGATTTTGGGGTCACAAGGTCAAAGGTCAAGGTCACTATGACCTTGATACTGAAAACAGTTTCCGGAGCATAACTTAAGTTCCAATTGGCCCTTAATGTTCAAACTTCATAGGATGATTGTCCATATTGGGTAGAAGACCCCTATTGATTTTGGGGTCAAATGGTCAAAGGTCAAGGTCACTATTACCTTATAACTGAAAACAGTTTCCAGAGCATAACTTAAGTTCCATTCGACCCACAATGTTCAAACTTCATAGGATGATTGTCCATATTGGGAAGAAGACCCCTATTGATTTTGGGGTCACAAGGTCAAAGGTCAAGGTCACTATGACCTTGATACTGAAAACAGTTTCCAGAGCATAACTTAAGTTCCAATTGGCCCACAATGTTCAAACTACATAGGATGATTGTCCATATTGGGTAGAAGACCCCTATTGATTTTGGGGCCAAAAGGTCAAAGGTCAAGGTCACTATTACCTTATAACTGAAAACAGTTTCCAGAGCATAACTTAAGTTCCATTCGACCCACAATGTTCAAACTTCATAGGATGATTGTCCATATTGGGTAGAAGACCCCTATTGATTTTGGGGTCACAAGGTCAAAGGTGAAGGTCACTATTACATTGATACTGAAAAATATGTTTCCACGCATAACTTAAGTTCCATTTGACCCACAATGTTCAAACTTCATAGGATGATTGTCCATATTGGGTAGAAGACCCGTGTTGATTTTGGGGTCAAAAGGTCAAAGGTGAAGGTCACTATTACATTGATACTGAAAACAGTTGCCGGAGCATATGTTAAGTTCCATTTGGCCCACAATGTTCAAACTTCATAGGATGATTGTCCTTATTGGGTAGAAGACCCCTATTGATTTTGGGGTCAAAAGGTCAAAGGTTAAGGTCATCCTTACTAAGAAAAAAAATACTTTCGGGCATATAATGCTCCGCCTAGCGGTGCTCTTGTTCTTATCTTTCTTGACTTATTACAGAGTAATTCAATAAACGTTCATCAATGGTCAACCACATAAAAAGGAAATGCAACATACAAGAACCACAAGTATCTTTAATTGCCCACAACCATAACTCTATTTTAATTCTTTTACAAGGTATTCTGTTACTATTTACATCCTCATTTCCGAAGCAGTCTTGCGGGGGTATTAATCACATTTAGGCTTTAGTTTATGTTAGTTTTCAGTATAGTTAAGACAGCTAGTTACAGTCTGCACTGTTTGCTATTCAGTGTGTACATATTTTGAAATTTTCTCTATACTGATGAATGGTTATATCCAGATTTTAAGCTGGACGAGTCCATTTAAGATATTCAACATATTAAGGGCAAAACAATATCCAGATTTAGTTTGGACAATTCTTATAATTATATAAATGTAACTTTATAATAGTAAAATAGCAGGTTCTTACAATAATTTTACTGGTAGAAAAGATCTTGGAAACAATGTTTATTTGTAATTTGTTGCATGTTGGTCGCTTAATTAGCTACCTTTGTTTTATTTGCCAGGAAATATTTTAGTTAAAAGAACTATTGTTTTTAATTTACTTTGAATTGAAGAGGTTTTTCTAAATAACAAAGGAATATATTTTGATTAACTTTTTTGCCAGTTAAAAGGAAGTTAAGTGGTTTTTGGGAGGTTTCCAGTTTAGAAAATGTTAAAAACTATCTGTGTTGTAGCATCCAGTTCTCCAAAGTCTACCAAAATCTTAAAAAGCTTTTAATTCCTTGAATTTTTCATATCAACAATTTTTACATACCAAGTTGTTAGCCAAAGCAGGTGATTTGAAATATAAACATAAGTAATAATCAACAGGTGTGTAATCAATAATTTATTTAGCTTACTATGTGAAGTAATTGCTGCCTAATGTATTTCCTGGCTCAGCTGTATTGTAAACTTTTATTTTCTTTAGTTTTTTGTGTGTGTTTAATTGTGTTATTTTCTTCAGGGAAAGGCAGCAACATTACCAGTGTCAGTATATGCAGAGGTAAACCATTCTCCTGCACCTAGCACATTCACTTTACTAGACATTTACCTGAATGTCACACCTTGACATTCACCTGAATGTCACATCTATACCTGTCCTGCTTCTACCCTCTGTTAGAATTGCTTTAATGTTAACATTTTTGACACAAATTTTGCTTGGACTTGCTATAAGCACATTCTTTTTAATTTCAAATCAAGTTTGCAATTCACTCAATTATTGACTATTTCTTATTATTATAAGCATTGCACTTCAATCTGTATGTACATTATATTATTAACATAATGTAGCAGTGTTTTTTCCAGCTAGAATTTTTTAGGGTCATTTTTGACCCCCCTGTGCAAGGTTTTAGGAATCAGTGTCATGCCATTAGAATTGAACAAAAATATTAAGAACAGTAGTGCATGAACACTAACAATGAACAGATTTAACCTTTGATTTTTCTATAGGGTATGAGTGTCTTGGACACAACATAATTTTTATTTGAATTTGAGCCATTTGATATTCCTTTTGGCAAAGGGTCAGGAACATTACTATTGTTTGTTGTTGTATTTTTCTATAAAAAGTTGTTAATCTCTGCTGCTTTGGAGCAGAAGATAGACCCACATTATTTCATTTCCCATAAAAATTATTGGTGGAACCCGGGGTACACATTTTGTACATGTTAGAAATGGTAATATTTTATAGTTTTTATAAGTCAAATTGAGTAAATTGGTCACAGGGAATTCCTTGCAACATGAAATATGCAATAACTGAATTTTATTGCGTCATGGCCGAAAGTAGTGCGCTCAAATTGCAAAAATGCGTTCTGGAAGAAACACTGATGTAGTATAAAATTGCTTGAAAGTTATAATATTTATTGTTTTGACAATAGTATAACAGAAAAAGAAAATCAATAAAATTAATTTAATAGAAATGTATAAAGACAATAGAATATCCCTGTAAAACTGATAGTACAGACCTTGATGTGAGAAATTTTAGCATTTTAATGTCCACATAGAAATAATAAATGATTATTATATCTATGCTGCAAAATCAAATATACCTGAAATTCTTTGTTTGCTTGTAAATTACATTTTGTATTCAGTAAGTATTTTGTCTATGTAAATACATCAACTAAATCTATTTACTATCGACTGATAGATTTCCTTCTATAAGATATGGTTACAACTGAGAGCCTTGTGTATCTGCCTAATTTCTGTAATGTTGGATTACTGGCTGATATTTTCTGGAGAATTTGTTGTTAAAGCTGAATGTCCTTGACCTAGTTACTATAAGATCAGTCAGTACTGTTTTTTTCTTTGTTTACTAATTATGTTTACAAATCATATTGTTTATATAGAAGGATATTGCCAGGAAAATGCAAGAAATATTGACACAGTTGTCAACCTGACAACAAGTTAATTGACAAAAGAGCTTCTGAATCTGAGTGCAAGAGGCTTAGTGGACCTAAAAGGCCAAGTCCTGAAATTTCAAAACTGACAACAAAATGAGTTAGTTTCATTGCTGTCAGTGCCTGTATGTAATGTATAGTCAGGCTGGCAACTAACTCTGATATTATTTATATTAAAACTGGATGGGTATGATGAGTTTAGCTTTCTTGTTTAAAGTTTTAAAAATGAAATTTTTAAGGTTATTAATGACATGTGTTAAATGGTTAGGAAAACACTTTCTGGAAGCTTTGTTTTCATTTCTCTCTGAAACAGAAACATGACTATTAGTTTGTTCTGTTTCTTTTCCTTCAACATCAGGAGACTCATAAATTGTTATTATTAACTGTTTGATTTGTTAGGCCTGCAATCAGTTTCTGGAGAGATTTGTAAGGTTTTACATTAATTTTGTACTGATACAACTTCTTATATGTTAGTTATTATTGCCCTGGATTATCATCGCAGAGTTGTTAAAGGCTGCCAGCTAATATTTTTTAGTATTTTTGTAATGAGGATAAAGCCAGAAATAAAGTAATAACTTTTATCTTCATCTGACAGTAACATTTCTGTTCAGATTGAACATTAAATACATTACTTAGGAAATAGATATCAATTTTGAGTGCATTGTTGTAGAAAAATGCATGGTTCAAGTTCAAATAATCACGAAGGAATAGGCTTGAGTAGTAAATTACAAAGCATTTGAACAATAAACCATTCATTATTATTACTTTAAGTTTCTTTGCATATCATAAAAAGAAAATTTGTTTAGTGTCAGATTGAAATATATTTCACCTCGTGAACACCAAAAATTCATATTTCACTTGTGGCAGCTAAGGCTTTTAGTTCATTTAGTTTTCTGTGTAGGTAAGACAGCTAAGGCTTTAGTTCAGGTTAGTTTTCTGTGTAGGTAAGACAGCTAAGGCTTTAGTTCAGGTTAGTTTTCAGTGTAGGTAAGGCAGGTAAGGCTTTAGTTCATTTAGTTTTCTGTGTAGGTAAGACAGCTAAGGCTTTAGTTCAGGTTAGTTTTCAGTGTAAGTAAGGCAGGTAAGGCTTTAGTTCAGATTAGTTTTCAGTGTAGGTAAGGCAGGTAAGGCTTTAGTTCATTTAGTTTTCAGTGTAGGTAAGGCAGCTAGGGCTTTAGTTCAGGTTAGCTTTCAGTGTAGGTAAGACAGATAAGGCTTTAGTTCAGGTTAGATTTCAGTGTATGTAAGACAGCTAAGGCTTTAGTTCAGGTTAGTTTTCAGTATAGTTAAGGCAGCTAAGGCTTTAGTTCAGGCTGTTTTCAGTACAGGTAAGGCAGCTAAGGTTTTAGTTTAAGTTATGCTTCACTTTTCAGTTAAAGTTTTAGTTCAACTAAGTTTAATGTAAAACAGACTCCAAAAATGTTTAATTTCTTTTAAGGTTTCAGTTCAGGTAAGGGTTGAGTTTAGGTAAGCCTTAGTTTTCATGTAATGTTTTCAGACATAATCATGTAAAAAGGAGTAAATGTCATCAATAGAATGGCAAATAATTATATCTCATTAATGATAAATCTATCTGTAATTTATTATATGTCCATACATCTGTTACAACTTCTGATTGAATATAAATTTTTCACCTTTGATGTTCAATTCAGGCAAGGATGGGTATTATTATACCTCCACCACAAAATGTGGGGGGGGCTATAATGGATTCGCTTTGTCGCGTCGGTCGGTCGGTCCGTCCGTCCGTCCGTCTCCATTTTCGTGTCCGCTCTATAACTCCTATACCACTTGAAGGATTTTCTTCAAACTTGGCTCAAATGTTCACCTCAGCAAGGGGATGTGCAGAACCCATGTTGCCCATGTGTCAGCTCAAGGTCAAGGTCACAATTGAAGGTCAAATATCAAACACAATCATATATTAGACAGTATGTCGTGTCCGCTCTGTAGGTCCTACAATAATTGAAAGATTTTCTTCAAACTTGGCTAAAATGTTCACCTCAACAAGGGGATGTGCAGAACTCATGTTGCCCATGTGTCATTTTAAGGTCAAGGTCACAATTGAAGGTCAAATATCAAACAATCAAATTTTACACAATATGTCGTGTCCGCTCTGTAAGTCCTACACTAATTGAAAGATTTTCTTCAAACTTGCTCAAATGTTCATTTCAACAATGGGATGTGCAGAACCCATGTTGCCCCATGTGTCAGCTCAAGGTCAAGGTCACAATTGAAGGTCAAATATCAAAAAATCAAATATTACACAGTATGTCGTGTCCGCTCTGTAAGTCCTACACTTATTGAAAGATTTTCTTCAAACTTGGCTCAAATGTTCACCTCAACAAGGTTATGTGCAGAACCCATGTCACTCTTTTGCCGGCTTAAGGTCAAGGTCACACTTGAAGGTCAAAAAATTGACTTAGAAAATGTTCTTTAATTTAACATATATCTGAATATTTTCTGAATCTAGGAAAAAGTATTTGCTTGAAACTTAAAATATAAACGAAGTGTCACAATTAAGATATGCTGGTCAAGTTTCATAACTCTGTATTGCATTTCAACAAAGTTATACCCCTTTTTAATCTTCAAATATACATACAATCACATATTAGACAATATGTTGTGTCCGCTCTATAAATCCTATACTAATGGAAGAATTTTCTTCAAACTTTTCTCAAATGTTCACTTAAACAAGGTTATGTGCAGAATCCATGTCACTTTGTGCAGGCTAAAGGTCAAGGTCAGACTTGAAGGTCAAAAATTGACTTAGAAAATGTTCTTAGATTAAAACATGTTCTTGAATATTTCGGAAACTAGCATAGGTATTTGCTTGAAACTTAAAAGATATATGAGGTGTCACAATTACAATATGCAGGTCAAGTTTCATAACTCTGTATTGGATTTTGACAAAGTTATGCCCCTTTTTAAGTCTTTAAATTACATACAATCAATACTAGACAATATGTTGTGTCCGCTCTATAAATTCTATACTAATGGAAGGATTTTCTTCAAACTTTACTCAAATGTTCACTCCAATTGGCGATGTGCAGAAAACCCATCTTACCCTTGTGCCAGCTGAAGGTCAAGGCCACACTTGAAGGTCAAAAATTGACTTATAAAAGTTTAGTATTTTTGGGAAAATGAAAGGTTATTTGTAACTGTTTCGAACATGATTTGATAATAGATATTTTTACTATTACCTGTACAATTATGTCTTTTTTTCACCAGAGATAATTTCTTTTTATGTATTTGTGTCACTTAAGTTATTCCCATAACCACCTTTCCAAGTTGTCTTCTGTCAAGGACATTGGTGGGGGTATGAATCGCATTCAGCGATAGTTCTAGTTATTTCTAGGTCTATTTGGTTTAAAGCAGGGATTTGGATTGCTAAGCCTAATTTATTAACATTTCTGTTCTGTAAATTTGTATAGTATCTAGTGTATCAATATTGACTTAACTTGTGTAGAAGGATTCTTGGTTATGACCACCATTTGATATTTTTTGTTGTCTTTGAACTGGCAGGTAGCTGAAAGCATTTAGAAATGACAGATACAAGATTTTCAGCCATTGAATATGAAATTAAATAAGCCAAAAAATGGTACTAAACATTACA